TGTTACTCTGAACTAAGAGCTGCCTTATTCCCCAAGGAGCCAATGCAGGGCCCTGCTGGCACTGTGGCATGGAGGCCAGTGCTGAGGGGCCGGTGCCGCATGGCCAGGACAGGGACAGCCCTCCCACCTCATCTACCCCCTCAGTGGGTCTCCCCAGCTGAAAAGTACCTTGGTGGCTTCTAACTTCCCTCAGGAGCAAGGAATGTTATAAAGGAAGAGAGAGACCTTGCTGTATAAATGGAGATTCGTGGAAGCTGTTCAACGAGCAGGGGTGGAGCAAACACCGTGGGCTGACTATACTAAGTGTTGACGAGGATGTGGAGCAGCCAGACTCTCATAACTGGCTGTGGGGTGTAAACTGTGCCAGCAACGGCAAACTGCTTGGCAGTCCTCAGAAGAGTGTGGTGTGCACTTTGGAGTGACCTTTCCCGCCATGTGCTGGAGGCTGCACCTGAGGGCCGAGCCCTGTAGCTTCTCAAGCTACACGGCTTATTTCCATGGAAATACACTCCCAATAGCAAAGTTCTTGGGATGGAGATATATAGCTCTTTCTTTTCTTTTTTAAAATTATTTTATTGTTGTTAAATTACAGTTGTCTGTATTTTCTCCTCACCTCTCACCCCCCCATCCCCCCACCCCCACTTCCCTCCCTTGCTTCCACTCTCCTCCTTGGTTTTGTCCATGTGTCCTTTACAGTAGTTCCTGAAAACCCTTCTCCCCACTGTCCCCTCCCCTCCCCCGGCTATTGTTAGATTGTTCTTATTTTCAATGACTCCAGTTATATTTCATTTGCTTTTTTCTTTTGTTGATTATGTTCCAGTTAAAGGTGAAATCATATGGTATTTGTCCCTCATCGCCTGGCTTATTTCACTTAGCATAATGCTCTCTGGTTCCATCCATGCTGTCGCAAAGGGTATAAGCTCCTTCTCTCTCTCTGCTCGTAGAATTCCATTGTGTAAATGTGCCATAGTTTTTTGATCCACTCACTTGCTGATGGGCACTTAGGTTGCTTCTAGCATTTGGCTAGTGTAAATTGTGCTGCTATGAACATTGAGGTGCATAGGTTCTTTCGGACTGGTGCTTCAGTGTTCTTAGTGTATAATCCCAGCAGCGGAATTGCTGGATCAAAAGGTAGATCCATTTTTAGTTTTCTGAGGAAATTCCATACTGTTTTCCACAGTGGCTGTGCCAGTCTGCATTTCAGTTCCAACTGCTGGAGACTATCAAGACTTTAATAAAACAAAGCAGGGTGAAAAAAAAAACCCCAGCAACAACAAAACTGGCAAAGGTGGGCATGCCCCAGTTCACCATACACAGCTAGTGAGGATGAGCCAAACTCGGGCAGGGGTGGTGTCGGGCCTTGAGCTCCAGTCGTACCAAACATTTCTGCAGAGATTCCAGGCCACCAACAGCCTCTCAGAACAGCTGATCCTCAGCTGCCCGCACAAGAAACTAAAATACACACTGTACCTGGAAAAAATGAGACTATAAGGAATTACATTAATATGGTGGGAATAGTTATTTCTGGGTGGTTGGATAATCTTAGTTTCTCCTTTGCCCTTCTTAACAAGATTTCCCAAATTAGGTAGCAAAGAACAAATTTTATATTCTCTCATGACCAGTTCAGATAAAATGCTTTGGGAGTCTTTCTGGACTTTTATTAAAGCTGGGAAGTGGCCCTCCCCTGGGCCCCCTTGTATCCTGCACCCTTGCTCAGCAACCCCAGTCTTGCCTCTGTGTCCCTGAAGGGGGCCCATGCTCAGCAGAAAGGAAGAGGAAGGCACGCAGACCCTGCTTCAGAAGTGAGGCAGTTACACGGATACCTGCCACTTCAGCCAGCGTGCCCAAGATACACAGTGCCCTCTGAAATAATAACATAAGCACTCTGCTGAAATGTGGAGACAGTTAGCTTTTTTAAAAAAGTTGAGGTATAGTTGACAAACAACATTTTATTAGTTTCAGGTGTGCAACATAATTATTTTTGTACATATTGCAAAATGATGACCACAATAAATTTAGTCAGCATCCATCACCTCACGTAGTTACAGACTTTTTCCTGTGATGAGTGTAAGATTTACTGCTTTCTGAGACACTTTCAAATGTGCAATATTTTGTACAGTGTTATTAACTACAGTATTATAATACTATATAATATCCCTACATATAATACTATATAGTATTATAATAATAGTATTATTACAGTATAACTATAAAAAGTTAGCTTTTTCTACTCTGTATGCCTGTGAGTCCCAGTCCTCTTAAAAATATTAAAATTGTAGAGAATACTAATATATATAATTTCTTTTCTTTCCATCCCTAGTGCCCTCTGCCACCCTTGAAGGGAAAGGGCAAGCAGAAGGGCACCCTGAATGCCAAGGTCAAGTCAGTGCTCCCTCCAGCTCAGGCCCAGCAGACCAACAGACACCTCACTGGCCCCACTTCCCCACCACACAGAGAGGCAGAAACTTCTGTGCTCTCTTTTGGAGAAACCATTTCTCTTCTCCAAAGACCTCCTTCCCCATTCCAGTGCTGGGAAAGGCCAGGCTGGCTGTGGCTGCCCTGTAGACACAGTGGGAGGCCTGCAGACCCAGGGTAGCTGGGCAGGCATCCCGTCTCCTCTCCACTGCCCCCCGCCCCCGTCCCTGCCCCTGACTGGAGCCTGGCAGTTTTACCACTCACCCCTCTTTTCTGGAAGTCAAAGCTCACAGCCCAGCCAGGTCAGGAGAATCCATCTGGAAGGCAAGTTCACACTCAGGTGTTAGTGGACACTGACACATTAACGGAAGTGGCCAAGCTGACCAGAGTTTTGGCAAATGCTTTTCATGGTATTTTTAAACTTGTTAGAAAAATGAGATTTTCTATTCTGAGTCAGAGCACCCCCACCCATGCTCCAGTATCATATTTCAGACTCAAGTACATAAATTTCAATCACAGCATTGATAAATTCCCTAAGGGCACTTCTGCTCAGCTCGAGGGCTGAGTCGTGGGCCTGCGCACCAGCCCTTCCTGCTCTGTGATGCTGCACATCTGCCCTGCCCCTCTGTGAGATGAGTAGGTGCGCCTGGATCCTTAAAGCTTGACATTCTGTGCGAGGCCCCGGGGACCAGCCCCTCTGCAGGCACTGTCTCCATCCTCTGACTCCAAATGTAAGGTGCTTTCCTCAGGTCCATCCTTCCCACTCTCTCTTTGGACATTCTGATAACTGCCTTTGCGGGGGCTCCAGTGTCCCCCATTTCTGCCATCTGCTCCTACCTTCCTCTCAAGCCCAGCCTGGTACCATCTGCTTGCTGGGGCCTTTTCTCGGATGTCCTGTAGGCAAACTCATCAAAAACTAAACTCTTCCTCCTCCCACCAAGCCCACTGCTGATCCCTCCAAACACCCAGAGACCCTGTCTTAACATTGCTTTGTTTTGACTCTGGTATCTGATTATTTGCCAAGCCTCTTCCCTGTTCCAGTCCTTCAATGAATGCTGCTGCCTGCAATGCACTCATGCCTCACCCTGGCCTTAGGGCCCTCCCTGAAGTCAGTCTCTGAGAGACTCGGAGGTGTGGAAGACCTTGCCTAAGGTCACACAGCCAGAGCGACAGGGCTTTCAGTCTAACGAACAGGTGGTGGTCGTTGGAATATGCAGCATCATCTCCCTGAGCCCTGCCTTTGCTTCGGCCACTTCATGGATTTACATCGTCTTCTCTCCCCTTGCCTGCTAAAATCCTGCCCATCCAGTCATTTTTCTTTTGTTTTCAAAATGCTTTTTAGGCTAACCCTTTGCAATTCAAAATTTAAATTTATAAATAGGAATTTTTAACCTGGTTTTTTGAGGCTTGAACTAATTGCTTCATTCTACTGAGAGTTTTGGTTATTCCCCCAACCAAACATGATGCCCCTCTCCCAAACTCCTCCCATTGGGGAGCCTCACACCTGCCTCATTCAGAGTCATCTCTGATCTGTGTGCTGGGGGCATAGCTTTGCATACTCAATGTGTAATACAAGGACTGTCAGTACAATGGAGTTTTCTTTTCTTAATTGATTTGAGAGAGAGGGAAAGAAACATGGATTTGCTGTTCCACTTATTTATGCATTCATTTGCTGATTTTTGTGTGCACTGACCCGGGATGGACCTGCAACCATGGTGTATTGGGACAATGCCCTAACCAAGTTACCCAGCCAGGGCCTGAACTCGTTAATGATATAACTACTTGAGAATGTTAACACTTTAGTGACTCCAGTGACAGAATCTCCTGTGGAGGTGACCAGGAGACCCGTGTCCGAGACAAGCACAGGAGCCAGGCAGGACCTGAGAGTGGGAGGGAGTTGCCCTGGGCCCAGTCACTAGCAGCTCGTCCCTGCGAACTCTCCCCCTGCTTCTGTTCCCCAAGACGTGCCTCTCCGGAAATGCTGGAGGCACAGACACTGAGGGAGGGGGGACAGGTACAGAATAAGCCAGCACAACCTTGCAATGTGTGTAGCTTATGAGAAAAGCCTTGGCCAGATCCTTGTCCCAGGTTTCTGCCACCATTTCTTGGCTTGCTGACCTTAGACATGTCTTTTAGTCTTGGTAGGTTTCCTCATCTGCAAAATGAAGACCCAATAGGCTCCAGGATCCCTAATGGAAAGAGACAATGGCAAAGGAGGTGTGAGCACCCTAGAGTCAAATTCCCCAAGTGTGGTCAACAGGCGCTGGAGATGTCCGAAGCGTCACTTCTCCCACTAAACAAGCAGATGCTCCTAAAGGAACAGAGCCCCAGGGAGGCTGAGGCACAGGAGCTAGGCCGGACCTTCCACAGCTCCCAGCAGGTGGTGCCATTTGGGGGTAAACAACGTCAGAGTCCACCCTCATACTTGGCCTGGGGGTCGACAGCGCTCTCTTCAGCTGGGAGCCTGCAATGGCTAGACAACCTCATTCTTAACAGCCCCTGGCCTCCCGAGGAAGGAGGGGGCTGTAGGAATTACGAAGAGAGGGCCAGGCCCCCACAGATGACACCAAACACGACACAGCAGCTGCTGCCCATTAGAACATTTATTTCTCAGAGAGAAAATAATTTCAGACAGTCATTTTATAGTAGGTAAAATTAACTTTTGTATTCTTTACAAGCATAGATTTTTCTGTTTATTACCTCTCTTATACCATCTGTTATAAACAATTCTAGAAAGCAAATAAAGTCACTTTCTACAATAAATAGAGCATCGTGTGCTTCACAGCAGACGCGACTGAGACACGTAGGCCCCATGCCACAGCAGGATCTGAGCCATTTCCTGTTCTAAAAGAGCAGTTTTAAAAATGAGACTCAGAGAGAGACTGAGAGATTGAGAGAGAGAAAGAGAGAGAGGGAGAGGGAGAGAGGAGAAAGACTAAGAAAGTGAAAGTGTCAGAGTTAAGAGACAGACACAGAAAGGGAAACAGAGAGAGCCCCGAGATCTTACAACACAGGTTGAGACAAAGGTCACAGAGTCCACAGCCCACTGACTACCTGGGGAGAGGGTGCACTGGCTCCTTTAAACAAACCACACTGTGTGCACTTAAAATACTCAGCCACACAATGGAGGACTCCTGTAATGGAAACTATAGGCCTGAATAATTTAGAACAATATTTTACAATTATATACACCATATCCTTCCCTAGCCATATGCTGTATTGTTTTCAGTACTGTACAAAATCCAAAACCCCATCCTTTGTGTGATAGAGAGTTTCGTTGGTTCCCTTTAAAGCTCTGGCTCGTGTCCCAAATGTATAAGAAGTTGTGGTGGTTGGTTGGTTGCTTGTATTTTAAAAAACTTGGATGTGTAAAAGTGGCAGTGATCTCCCCAGTGACTTCATTTTGTCCTAAACTCCTCTATGAAAAATTTAAAACAATTAAAAAGAACATCAGGTTAAAAATCAACATGGCAATCAGTGGCCTGCAACCTGGCCCTGCGACTTTGGTGCTTAAGAGGTGAAAAGAAACATCCAGAGAACAGACTCCGAAGCCTCTGAAAGTCGTGGTTTATCAGTCAGCAGTCCCCGTTTCACAGTTTTTTTTCCTTCTGTTTTTGAGAAGGTGATGGTGTGGAGGGGGTTGAGGAAAGAGAGGGCAGGGGACAGAGGGTCAGAAGTAAAAGCGCAGGCTTCCCTGGAGCTGGGAAGCAGAGCAGCAGAGGCTGCGCGGGCAGAGCACAGGGCAGGGAGGAGCTGGACTACAGGCACCGCGCCATCCACGGTGGTGGGCAGGGGACCACAGGCTGCTGCTGCAGGGAAGGAAGAGCCCACAAGGGGCGGAGAAGAATGAAGGGACAGACCCAACTCCACCCCAACAACCCTCAACATCCAAGTGGGCAGACACACTCACTCATCCAGCCTGGCCTGCCGGAGCCCACCCAGCCTTGGCCTGCCTCTTGGCGAGACAGGAAGAGGGCAGGAGGGCAGCTGCCTCAATCCAAGGGGGCAAGCTCTCACAGCCTGGTTTCCGCTGGGCATCTGCGGATGTGAAGGTCAGTGGGAGGAGGAAGAGCAAGGGGACGGGGGTGTGCTGGTGGCGGGGTCACCCAAGTGGTAGGCTGGCCTCTGTTCTGGGCCCTGAGGAGCCAGGGGGAGGCACCCACCTGGCATAGCAGCTGGCCTCAAGGGGAATGAAACAAAAACAAAAAAACTGATTTGGTGATGGTTTCTGTCAGTTTGGCACAAGAAAAAGCAGGGAAAGGAACTTGGGAAAGACTGGGCAGAGGTGCAGAAGATGGGACGGGGAGGAGGTGTGAGAGTGGGTGATGGATGGAGAGAACGGGTAAACTCAGTGAGATTCCCTGTGGGACCCTAGTGTATCCACAGCACCTCTGGGGTCAATGTCAGAGCCTCGCTCGCCCTGAGGTGTAGTTAACCGGGAGGAGGTGGAGAGGGCTAGGCACACCCTTGAGAAAGGGCCCAGGACCATCTCCTTGCTGGGCCTCACAGCTATTTCTACTTCTCACTGGTTCTTCAGTGGACCAGCCCCTGAGGGAGCTCAGATGGGAGTTTTTGGCACACAGGAGCCCGCCAGGGGAACCATCCAGTACATCCAAACTGGGGCCGTGCCCTCGGAAAGGGCTCAGCCCAGTCAGTCCCTGGCCCGCTATAAAAGGAAGGGAAAGCTGCCGCACAGAGAAGCTCTCTGCGCCCTGGGGATGGAGGCAGGGCAGGCGGACACAGGCCAGCCCCACCTTACAGGTAGCTGGAGGTGACAAAGGAGTGGGGCCCCCGGACACGGCTCAGGTGGATCATTGCTCGGTCATAGGCCACCTGCACCGACTTGCGGATGCTAGTCTTGCGACCTTCCAGCATCTTGAGCTTGTCCACGGTATCTTCCACGCCCAGGGGCAGGACTTTGTCCCGCGGAAGCCACTGCCTAAAATACAAGCACAGTTAGAGGCCTGGGCAGTGGTGCATTGGTCCCATCAGGGTGTTCCTCGGGGCCTGCTTGCTGAGGACATACAGAGGGAGGCGGACTGGGACACATCACACAGGTGGCCACCAAGGGACCTGTTTCTGTGGTCAGGTCCTTCTCTGGGCCTCAGGGTGTTCACCTTGCTTAGGGGGTTGTCAAGGCCCAGGAGTCAAGACAGGTCCCTGTGCTGCCCTCTGGGGCTGGTTGAGATCATCAGGGGCTCTGAGCCTGCCCCTGCTTTGCAGAATGAGGCGGCTATGGCTAGAAGTGGGGCTGATGCCAGGCATCAATGAACTGGTCCCTGGGGGGCCTGAACCTGTTGTTTTTCTTAAAATACACCCAGGTGAATCTAATATGTCAGTCTTCAGAGTCAGATCTTAGTTTGTATGCCAGTTCTGACTACAGGGTCTTGGCTTTCTGAGCCTCAGCTTGCTCATCTGAAAAATGGATTGGGGGAGGGGAGATCAATGAATATTTAAATGAGACAATACAATGTAAAGTAATTTGCATTAAAGGCACAGAGTGAATACTTAATACATGGTGGCTATTATCATTATTATCATTTTTACTGGCTAGTCCTACTTCCTTATTCTACAGAAGCAAAGGTAAAAGAACCCTCCTGCCGGTGCTGAGACAAGCCTCACGGTGCTCACAATGAGCAAGCAAGCCCCTTACAGTGACCCCTGCCCGGTGCAGAACCTGGCCCCGGGACTGAGACACTCGTTTCTACAGCCACTGGATGTACTGGCAGCTGACAGTACACCCTCCACCAAGGGAACTGCTTGGCCCAAGGTCACCCTGCACCCCAGGGGCAGCCAGCATTCAGTGAGTAGTTGATGTGGGGATACAAAGGCACAGCCCCAACTTTTGACAAGGCTAACAAGCCACCCAGCTCTAGAGCTCCCCATAAGATCAGCTGAGGCTTGTTTCGAGAGCAGTGCAGTTCAACATTTTCTTCTCCCACGGCTGCATCCCTTGTCCCCACAGCTCTCCCTAGTAAGCCTCCTGAATCAAACTTCCACGTCAGGGTGTTTCCCAGGGAATCTGATCTCAGTTACCATTAAGGTGGCAAGTGCAGGCCAGCCGCTGTTAGGTAACACCCCACCTTCACTAGGTGGAGGCAGGGTGACTGAGTGAGTCTACAGTCCCTCTGTGCATCTCCCCAGCATGTCGGAATCTGCACGGCCTCCTGGTCAGGCCCCTCAGCCTGCAGCCTGGCACACCTTTCCCAGCAGCAGCGCCCACTCACCAGGTGCGCTTGTTGTCAAAAAAGAGGACAAGGAAGAGCTTCTCTCCAGCCTCGGCCTGTTTCTGCTCTCCCAGCTTCAGCACATCCAGCGGGGGGACAGGGATGGGGACGCCATTGTGCAGGAGGCCCTCCCGGGGCATCTTGGGATCGATGATCTGGAGGTAGGAAAGGAGGCAACACTCAACTGGCAGCTAATGGGATGATCAGGGCAGCCCGCCCCAGGATTTACCACTAAACCACCACACACCAAAGCCACACAGGGTCTTGGTTGGGCCCACAACCAAGTGATGGAGAGGTGGACTTCTTCCACGACCCTCGGTAACCCAAAGTGGAAATTTTGGCCATTTCCCCAGCTCATTGTTCTAATCCTCTGGCTCTGCCCAACCAGTCCTTCAGATGAGAGAAAAGCTTGCTCCACAAACTGTCAGAGCCCAGAGCTGAGAGAGAAGTAACGGGAAGCCAGCACGGGGGAGCCAGAACTGAGTGGGGTGTCTCTGATGTCCAGGTCAGACAGGCAAACTCCCTTCTCCGAGTGTCCCTTAGGGGAGAGGAGTGGAGGCCATGTTTTTCCTTCAGAACTCTTGCAATTCACTTCAAATGCCCAGGGGCCTTCCCAGACACCATGGCTATGCAGAGGTTCTGCATCAGCAAGAGGGCCCATCCCTTCAGTTCTAACCTAACAGAGCCTCTGGTTACCCACCACCTTCTTGTCTCACTATAACTCTTCCTGGTGTGTGGGCCAGATACACTTGTGACACCTCCACAGTAAGATAAGAGAGAAGGTAGAAGACTGAGCTTGGAGGGGTGCTGGAGAGGGAAGACAGATGTGGCTGAAACAGGGGCCACTGGAGGAATGAATCCTCAAGGTTGCATGTTCCATCAGGGCAAGGGCTCAGTGAAATGCTCAGTGGCATAAACAACAATTCTCCTGCTCTGTGGAGCACTGACAAAGCTACCAAAGCTCCTAATTATTCACACATCATCTTATTTCATGCTCTTGGTGATGTTGAGAAGTTGACAGGTTATTAGCTGACAGAGGAAAATGCCAAACACAGAAAGAGGATGTAGCTGCCTGAGGCCACCGCTGGGACGAAAACCAAGCACCTGAACCCGAGCGGGCGTCTGCTGCCCACTGCCTCCTCCACAGCCCCTCCTCCAGCGCAGCTGGCTGATCATTGCTGTGTGCTAAGGCCAGAGAGATGAGGAAACCTACTGAGGAAGCAGCTTTCTCCAGAGATGGAGCAATTTTAATTTCCAGACCCTGTCCCAGGGGGCCTCTTCTCACAATAAACCACTCTTTTAGTTACTTTTGGGTGTCTGCCAGCCTCTCTACATCCCTCTCAAGACAAGCAGTTGAAAGCAGGTACTCTGGTTAACGGTTTACTCCCAGGAAGAACCACATCTACTCTGCCCCCAGCTGTGTGATTCATCAAAACTCTACCTCCTAGCCTGTCTGTCCCCGCTGGGTCTGAGCAAAGGGTTCTATTGAAAACCAATATACAAGCCCTGCTGAGGTTCCTTAATTTCCAAACAAGACTCTGGGCTACTCTGATATGTTTCCTCTTGACTAAGCTGTGCTGGTTTATGGAAGGTTGGATAGTGAAAAATGTCCCTCAGGGCAGAAGCAAGGTCCTGCCACTTAAGGAGAGTTCTCCTCCCTTCGTAAGGAGGATAGAACCATGGCTGGTATGGCTCAGTGGATGGAGCGCCAGCCTGAGAACCAAAGGGTCGCCGGTTTGATTCCCAGTCAGGGCACGTGCCCGGGTTGCAGGCCAGGTCTCCAGTGAGGGGCACGTGAGAGGCAACCACACATCATTGATGCTTCTCTCCCTCTCTTTCTCCCTTCCTTCCTCTCTCTAAAATTAAATACATAAAATCTAAAAAAAAAAAAAGAAGACAGAGACAAATGTGTCCCAAAATAGTAATGGTCCATTCACTCAAATGTTATGCATATGTAAAACAACATGGAAATAAAGGTTGTGATCAACTTTAATATACACTAAATGTGTACATACCCTATTACAGCTGTAATATGTAAACAAAAAACAGAAGGAACAATACAAAATGCTTACAGTTAGCATGTTAGAATATGGGGATTTATGCTGCTTTTCTCTATTTTTCCAAAACTACTACAGCTACATACTTTTATAAAAAAACAAAAAACATAAAAAAAAAGAACCACCCCCCTCAAATTTAAAAACTGTATATTCACTATGGATGCGAGTACAGTTGACCCTTGACCATGGCGGTTGGGGTGCTGACCCTGTGTGTAGTTAAAAACTAAAAACTTAACTAGAGTCATCCCTTGGTATCCCTGGGGGGTTGGTTCCAGAACTCCTGTAGTTACCAGAATTCGTGGATACTCAAATCCCTTATGCAGCTAACCCTCTGCATCTGCAGACGGAAATCCTGGGGATATGGAGGGCCAACTGTGAATTACTGAAAAAATCTGAGAGCAAGTGGACCCTGCAGTTCAAACCCATTATTCAAGGGTCTACTGCACATATTTAAGTAAGCACAGGAAGAACACAAACCAAAATAAAAACACAGGTTGTATTCAGGTAATTGGGTTTTCAGGTGGTGGTTGAATTTCTTTAATCATGAAGGAAAATGTGTCATTAAGAAGATAATCAGAAAGAAAAAAAGACACTAGTTTTAGAGGCTTTTCTTGCAGTGAGTTAAAAAAAACAACAACCAAAACCTGCAGAGCCTTAGTCATTTCTTCGAAGACTCAGCTGGGAGTCTCAGGGACAGCAGGGCTCAGAACCCTGGGAGGACAGCCTGGGCCCAGCCTCCTCAGCAGCTGGATGACAGTGTGGATTCTGCTGCCTGCCCCCGCTGAGGAAGACGTGAGGCAGGCAGCCTGGGTTCCAGTATGGCTCCAGCATGTTGTATAACCTTTGGAGCTGTGGTTTCCTCACCTGTCCAAAAAGGATCAGAGTTCTTGCCCTCCTTTGCCTTAGAGGCTGCTCGAAAGGGCCACAGACACAAATGAGCTGGGGGCAGCCCAGGGCTCTGTGTGCGTGCACGAAGTTGGTGGGGTGGTTCTCAAACCTGGCCCCAGATCATCTGGGGAGCTTTTAATAAAGTGTTCACATGTTAGTCTGGCCTTAGAGAGGCTAATTGGTTAGTTCTAAAATGGAGCCTCAGTATCTGCATTGTTTAAAAAATTCCCTTGGGTGATTCGGACACGCCCCAAACGTTAGAATCAGCATCTTCCAGGATCAGATCTCCCCAATACAGAAAGTGCTCTAAGAAATAACAATCAATGTGGTAAAAATGGAATTTTTAGGTACTGCTAGTGGGACAATAAATCAGAACTTTCTAAAGGGCAACCTGGCAATTTGTATCAGAATTTTGTATAGACTTTGCCTTAAGAACACACTCTTCAGAATTCTCTGTAAAGAAGTAATCAGGGATGTACACAAAGGCAAAGCTACAATGATGTTTATTGCTGGCTATTTATCATAGAGAAAAATTCAAAACAATTTAAGTGAGCAAGGAGGGAATGGTTAAAATAAGGTAGGTACATGCATACAACTAAAGATAATGCAGGCATTAAAGTTATGTTGATGAAGAATGTGTAATGGCATAAGACATGCACGTATATGGTATGCTGTTAAGTGAAAGGGAGGTTAAACAGAGCGTGGTCTCATGCATATGCATATCTATGCATTAAACAAAAAAAGGCTGAATGGATATATTCCGAGGTCATTTCTGAATAGATGGGACTGTGGATGATTTTGAACTCAGTGGTTCAGAATACAGGCATCACATATTTTAAGCCCTGGCTCAAATTTTAGCCCTGCTGCTTAATAGCTAGATGACACAGGTAACAAATGGATCATCAGTTTCTTTCCCCTACAAAATGAAAAAATAATCATACCTTCCTGAGTATTTCAAAACCTTAGCATGACAAATGTTTAATAAAATATCTAAGCATGATTACCAGCTTTTAAAATTCTCTATAATGAGCACATATTACTTTTATGCATTAGCAAATAAATCCCTAAAAACCCTAGTCTCTGTCTCCCCAACCTGGGAGCCTTGCAGGTCTGACCCACCCAAGACTGGGCTAAAACCTCCCTCCCTTCTGCAGCTGAAGGCACCCTGACACCCATCGCACTCAGAAGGCCTGATTCAATCCAATAAGCCCCTGGGGCAAGGCAAGGGCCAGGACCGCCCAGGGAGGGAGGAGGGTGGCATCTGAGGCAGACTCACCAAGGCAGGGTAGGAGGGATAGCCTCGGCACTTGGCCCACACCAGCTCCAGGGGCTCCAGGTCTCCACGATCTTCAAAGGGCATCAGGAGGCTTCTGCCTGGGGGTGGGGGAGGGGAGGAGACAGTGCCCAAAGGGGGCTTGGAATGGTGCCCAGGAGTCCTCTGCCTGTGGCCTCCATTTCACTGGGGCAGCCTAAGAATGAGTCAGGAACATGCCCTCCACCCTTCCTCTTCCCTGCGCCTTCCTTAGAAGTTCTTAGACTAGATTAGAGGTTGGCAAACTTGTTCTGCAAAGGGCCAAAGAGTAAATATTTCAGGTCTATGGACTACATGGTTGCTGTTGCAACTACTCAACTCTGCTTTACAGCAAGAAAACAGCCATAGGTAGTCTGTAAATGAATGAGATGGCTGTGTCCCAATAAAACTTTATTTTTGGACAATGAAATTTGAATTTCTTATAGTTTTCACGTTACAAAATATGATTCTTTTTAAAAAAATTTTTTCACCTGAAAGTATAAAAACCATTCTTAGCTCATGGGCCCTACATAAACAGGCAACAGGCTATACCTTGCTGATCCCTGGGTAGCGTTCCTTGGAAAACACCACTGCTTCATTACCAGGGTCCTTGGTAAAAGAACCATTGTCCAGCTTGGGCAAAGCCACAGACTGCCCTTGAGGCCTCCTCAAGTGGGGGGTCCTCATGATGGAGGCATCACGGAACAAGATGCCTGGGACAGACATCCCATTAAACCACTTGCTAAATGAGTTCTTTTCTGACACAGCCATACCTGGCCATCCAGGTCACCTGGATGAACAGCACTCAGCAGAACCAAACAGGTGTGCAGGACCTCCCCCTGCCAACCTTAATCAAACCTCACACCCAGTGTCCCGCCTGGGGCAGGCAGGTCTCTTCAGTTTCCTTTGTTCTGCACCCAATGCACTAGCACACACGGACTGGCACACAAAAGCTTCTGAGCACACAGTGGAACCTCTGTTCCCTTCCCCGCATCTATAAACTGGGTACTGGGAGGTGACCACACTCAACCAAGGAAAAATGCCAAAATCTCACAGAATGGAAATTATGTTTCTAAGGAAACATTACCACCTTCATTTATAATTTTTTTAAAATGTACTATTAATTGTAAGGTATTGTTTCTACCTACTGAGTCAATAGCAGTAACAACAAAAAGACAAACTCCAGTGCCGGAGAGGCTGACTGCAGGGAGCCTGCAGTCGGGCACTGCTGAGGCCACTGCAGATCGGGCCTATCCTTCCAGAATGTGATTTGGTGTAAATTTCAAGAGCCATACAAAAAAAAAGTATGAACCATCTGTTTGAGTAAATTCCTTCCCTAGGAACTTAGTTGAAGAAAATAACTTTAAAAACAAACAAACAAAAAAAGATTTTGGTCAAACATATGGGTTTACTACAGACAATGTTAAAGTCAGAAATAAGTGTCTAACTATAGAAAGGTTCATTGTAATGCACTGTTCTAACAATAGAGATACATAAAGATTATATCAATATGAAGAAAGTATGAGATAACACTAAAAATACAAAAGGACACGTGTTTTAGGTTAGCATTTTCTTAAAAGCATGTCTGAAATCAACAGAAGGCAACACAGAAATGAAGACAACTGTGTTAAGTTGACGGAACAGTGGGAGGTCAATGTCCTTCAGCATCATTTTAATAAGTATGTTGTTTTAAAAATAAGAACAAAATGTCAAAATGTCACCAACTGAAGTGCAAAGCACGTGCCAATCCACTCTCAATTTTGTATGTAGACATGGGCCTTGCCTCCTGGGCACTGACAGACAGTAGTGAGACAGGCAGGCTTGCATTCAACACACACACAAGAAAAGAAGTGGTGCTAAGGGAAGGTAACACTGTTGGGAAAGGAAAGAGGAGAAGAAAAGCCCTGAAGCCTGTGTGTCAGACGAAAGCCTCAAAGATGGGCACCCAGCGCACACCTGCCACAGTGGGCTGCACAGTCGCTCAGGGAATAGCACGCTCTGCACCTGCTGGTCCTGAGCACCACTCAGGCCTCTCCTTTGGCCCCGCCCTGCCCTTTGCCCCTTGGTCTAAGGAGAAAAGACCCATATATTTCACTGCCTGGACTAGCTGGAGTATGTGTCATGAGGAAAGGGCAGAAAGCCCTGGATCATGTGAAATGACAGAGCCATGGGTGAGATTCAGTGATATGGGCTATTACTGATGACCCCAGTGAGGGAAGACCAGCCGTATCTATAGAGATTACAAATGCACACTTCCTTCAGTACTGCAACTCCACTTCTATAGATACAACCCCCACGGATACAAAATGGCCTATGTACAAGGTTGCTCACTGCGCACTGATTGTAACAAATCGGTGAAAGCAACTGAAATGTCCATCTGTAGAGAGGGCTGGCTAAGCAAAGGACGGCACTCCTACATTAGGCAGATGATGAAAAGCATGGAATGATCTCTAAGATATATTACTAATGGGAAAGAAACAAAGGTGGGAGGAACACATGTATATTAGGCTTCCTTAGTCACTCTCCTACACACACACATGAAGTTTGGCTTGTCTATGTAAGGGTTATGTCCAGAAAGACACAAAAGAAACTGCCAACAGTGGCTGCCCTAGGGAGAAGAGGACTGGTTTTTCATTATGCAACCTTTTTGTACCTTTCTAATTTTTGTTACCATGTGCACATATTACCAATTCCAATTTAAGACGAATTAGGGATGAAAAAAGAGTATGAATGACCTGGGAAGGAAGACCATCTCCCTGTCCAGTGCCCAAGGAGGGGCTCCGGGTCTAGCCAGACCACAGAACTGGTTCTTTAGCAGGCCTGCCACCCTACCCTCCCACCCCGCAAATCCACCTGTATACCACTCCTCACCTGAGCCACTGTAGTCAGAGTCTCCGTTTACCCCTTCTAGGAAGGGCACTCGAGACAGGGCTGGCTTCCCACGGCTGCGTTTGGGGGGCATCAGACCACTACACACAGAGTAAGGGGGGAGAAAAAATGAGCAATTTCAATGACTAAAACCCCTACTCCTGCTGCCCCATGGCTGTTAGTAGTAGAGCTGCATAAACCCTTCAAGGCAAATGGTTTCTCACCTTCCCCTCAAAACTCACATTAAGCTATGATATACTTCAGAAAGTTCCCATGAGGCTTTGAGGAACCGTTTCATCCATGTGGAAGGACTGAAACTGAGAAGAGATGCCTGTTCCCCTGCTTGGGAACCCTGGACTTCATTCAGAGGAAAGGTCACCCAGGCACTTGTCAATCCTTTCAGAGTTTAAACAGTGGGGCCATGAGGAGGACCCATCTCACATCTGCCCAGAATTCTTTGCTCTGTGGCTCACACTGCTTGTTCTTTGGAAACCAATTTGTTTTTAGAAGTACAAAAATCTGACTCCCAAATTTTCTATAAAAGACATGTCTTTAAAAAAATCCACTTCTCACTTCCACTTTATGTGTGTGAATTTTTCTTAGACAGAGATAGGGTTCTTTTTAATATGGCTACTGCAAAGAAGTAAAAAAATATATTAGATGAAGACTAAAAGATAATAAGAAAAAATTAGAACAGTAATGCCAGAGTAATGGTGTAATCCGCACCCATCCAGGCATCAGTATATTTAGATAGCTCCCCATGCAATTCTAATGTACAAACATAGTTGGGAGTCTCTGGGTGACAATGATGTGGCTAAGGCTTTCTTTTCACTCAAACTTTCCAGTATATAATTTTTCAACAAAAAAATAATTAAAAGACAGACAGTAATTTTCAGAAGAACAGAAATGCTTAAGAAACCTCTGGTGGTGTAACAGGAGGCCAGGTTTAGGACTGGTTGGAGAGCAGGGTACTCCAGTTTTACGAATCATAACTGACTTCATCATGGGCTTACACAGAAAACTGGCACAACCAGAAATCAATGAATCACAATCCTTTAATAACTAGTAGGTTGAGAGCTTTTTCCCTGCTAGTCAAAATTAGGGCCTGCTTGGAAACACAGAGAACACTCAGTTCATATTTAGGTTCAGTTTCCACTGACCCTACAAAAACCTGTCACTTAGAGATTCTGGGCCTTATCAAAATATAAGATACTAATAGTTTTACTAGGAAAGCCTCTCTTAGTTCCCATTATGGATCTGGGAAGACATCTTCAAATATAACAAAAGAGGGTCCAGTAAAGTGGTTGAGATTAAAATACAGAGCCAGACTACCTGGGTTCAGAACCTGGCTCTTTATTCAGTAGTTCTGTGACCTTGAGTAAGTTAGATCAGCCTCTTTGAGGCTGTGCCCCCGTGTTGCTGTGAGGATCTGATGGATTAATACACAGGAGGCACTCAGTATTGCACATACCAAACACTCAGTAAATGTCAGTTCTATAATAAATATTATATGAAGGGCAGTAAATTTTAATGTGTCACTTTAAATTAATAAACTACCAATGTTGTACTATCAAATGATGAGCTCTGAGAAGGACAAGCTCAATAAAATGGGATGCAACACCAAAACTAGGTCTGTGTTTTCCTGTTTCATAGAAAAAAGCACAAGTGACTTGATTGTGGCCTGCATTTCAGCCTCTCTCCAAGTTATCCAGGCCTACACAGACAACCCAACCTGTAATCATTCTCTCCACTGGTTTAACACTCAGCACCCTCTAGAAGATAAGCTCCATGAGAAGAGACACCTTCTCAGTGCTTAGAACAGTGCCTGACTCATAGGTGCTCAATTAGTAATTGAAGGAATAACCCACAGAAAGACGGTGTAACCCTAACCTCTCAGAAAATCATCAGAACAGATAAACCAAGGGGCATGTATGTGGAGAAGGGGGTGGGGTTAGTGACCATAAGTTCCTTCAGGGTTCTTTCTAATTCTGGGATTATATGATTCCGATCAAATCAATAAGTAAAATGGTCCTTTATGTATTTATCACTGCAGAATAGAAAACAAAAAAGAAAAAGAAAAAAAATCCTGGCAGTCGGAGCCCCTGCTTTAAACCTTGAAATTCCACTGAGAGCCACTGAGTTAAAGAGGAAATGCCTTCCAAGGGCACTATTTCCGAGTTGGGTTAGGGGCCCCAAAATCAGTGGCACTGGACTGGAGTGCTGCACAAAGACAAAACTAAAGCCTGAAATGGCAGGCTGACTAGAGCTGGCCTGGCTTGCTTCTTGTGGCTCAGAGCTGGGAAGAATGCCCTTTACAGAGAGGGGAGCCCAACACACCTCTGACCTTTAGTCAAGGTATAGAAGGAGACAGTTTGGTAGCCCACTCCTACCCTACCCTCAATGAACTGGATTTCCAGGCACCATTATCTTTGAAGGGACTCAGGAACTCCAACCCAGGAGCAGGCTAGAAGCATCTTGTAAGGTTCTGAAAGCTCTGCCTCTTCTCTATGCCTGGTAACTGTGTTTTGTCATCTACTCCCCCTATATCTTAAGAGGCTGCCACATGGGAGAAAGTAAATAAGATGGGGCAATTTTGAGGCTTATTGGGGAGGGAAACCTCAAAGGAACCATTGAGAGACAGGACATGCCACAGCAAGGTCCAGTCCAGACCCAAGGGGTAGCTGGTCACCTCCCAGGGCCCTACCAGGAGCCCAGCAGCCAGGATAGAACAGACACCTAACAGAACACACACCCACTCTGGTGTGGTGTGGTCTGCTCTGGAGGTGGTTCAAACACAGATAGCATTGCCTTTTGGTGCTCACTGCCCTGGGACCATTGCCCCTACTCTTAACCCAGAGTCCACTCAGCAGTCATGTGGAGGGACCATGAGGTCAGTCTTCAGTTAACTCTTCTTTTTCTTTGTGGCACCAAATGTCTCTCATTTCCAAGAGTGCCACACTTCCTGGTTCTTGCAGAGTTCACAAGACAGAAATCCAATAAACTCTTGGACTTGGAAGACACTTTAAGGTTCTGGTATCAGAAATCCTCCCTTCAGGTAAAAGAATGGGAAAAGAAACTCATCCCTTCCTAGCTCAATGATGGTAAAAGAGCTGGGGCATATGTCTAATAAAAAGGAATTCCAAATTTCCTGTCGGCTTATTTCTTATTCTCACACCACACCTCTGAAGGAGCCACAGCTACGATGCCTCCAAAGGCAAAGGGTGACATGGTGTTTGCAATGAGCTGAGTTATCCGCGTGGGTCTAGGGGTGGGTAGGGGACTGGTTCAAATGTTAACCTCTCTGGGCAACAGATGCGGCTGGCCCCACCCTCTAGAGCCAAGTTCAGCTTCACAATCCCTGTAAAGCATCAGCATCACTCCTCCCCTCCTGGTCAGAGCAGGCCTGAGTCAAAGGTCATGCTTTTTCTTAAGAGCTACTGGAGTTACGGAGCAGAGGCCTCAGGAAATAGGGCTGAGGGAAGAAAAAAATCTGAGATAAGCTGAAGGAGGTTCAATCTGTAGCTGAGTGGAGAATAAAGGGAGAGGTGGGGAAGCTGCCAACAAAGCCCTGGGGACAAGTGTTCTTACCTGCAAGCTTCGAATGCCAATCCACCACTGAGACCCAAACTACATTCCGAGTCAGACCCGCTTTCGGTGTGTTTTCCAAAGCCGTTGGTTACGCCTGCCAAGGATACATAGAGTGAGCCTGAGTGCAGGAACCCCCTCCCCCTGACCCCCACTGCAGCGTGTGAGCTGCCTCGGAGGGTGCAGCAAGGAGGGGTGGTGAGAATGGCTGTGCCTTCCCTACAGAAAATGGATCTTGGGTGGTGGAATCTGATACAGGTTTGGGGGAAATGTTGGCTGAGGCACTGAGCAGACACTGCATTTTCCTTCCCTTCCTCTGGTTTTACTGTAAGAAAAATACAGCACACAGCTCACTTCAGTTATTGTCATCTAGCTACAAAGGGAAATAACAAGACTTTCCCACTCTGGCTGGCTCACAAGTCCCTGGATCTGCTTCTCATTTCAAGCCTCAATTATCAGGGAGTCTCCTCTGCCTCTTGGGGAGCCCACCCGCCTGGCCTCTTCAGATAAACACTCACACACCCTATCCACCGCACAGCTGGCAACAGCCAGCATCATTCTTTTGGGATGGTGTCAGGGGAGGTTGAAGCAGGATAAGGGCTATGTCAACCACACCCTGAGATATGGAGCAGGGCTCATCAGACTTGAGAAGGGGGTACTTTTCAGCAGAAAAGCAGACGAGACCTTCTTGGGATGGGGAGTGAGAATTCCCTGGGTTCTCGACTGAGATCTAAAATACAGGTCGCTTTTCCTCTTTAAGTTTTGACCTCCCCTTTTGTGAAGATAACATGGTCTTACTCATGGAGGATGCTATTACATTAAGTGTGAATGAGAGGAGGTCTGTTTACAGAAGGGAGCCCTTTGGAGGCAAATGAAGATTCCCTGCTCATCCCAGGGATGTGACGCTCATCTGCCGTGAAGGCTTCAGCTCTTCTGTCTGTCTACCCAATTCTTAACCACAACCTGCAGTCCTACAAGTCTGAGAGCTGAGTCAAGAGCTCTAACTCACCTTGGCCAGAAAACTGTGAGGCAAGTCACACCTGTAAGAACAGATGTCTGAGCCAGGATATCCAGACTCTGACCCAACTCTGCCTCTAACACTGTGACCTCAATTTAAATCACCAAGCCAGCTGTGCCTTAGGTGCCTCATCTGTAGAGAACCATCACCTGCTTATGTGAGATTCAACGAAGGCTGTGCAGAAGTATACCTGAGTACCAGGCAGCTGGACTACAGAGGACTAGATTCTAGCTGCATCCCCTAGCAGTGGGCCCTCTCAAGCTGGATGAGCCTGATGTCCAGTTTCCTAGTAGTGGGGCCTTTCATTGCACAGTGTTCTCAGTGTTGTCTGGTTGTGCTTGATATGGCTGAGAGAATGACAATAACTCTTACCATCCACCACTACATGCCAAATACCTTATATAGACTATTTCCAATCCTCAGAGCCCTGCAAAATAGGTATCACTAGCCCCATATAAGAAATCAGGAAACAGGGCCAAAGAGTCTGTTTAATGTGCACCAGCTAATTAATTTGCTACAAAGCTGCTAAGAAGACGGAATTTGAACTGAGGTCTGCCTAAGTGCAGGCCTCAAGCTCTTGACTGTATAGTAACATAATGCCCTAATACAGGGGAGCTGGGCCAGACGGGAAGGGAAGATAGTGCTGGACAAATGTTAAGAAGAGAGAAAAGGAGAAAAAGCATGTGCTGACCACCCAGCCCACAGCCACCGCATAAAAGGACATAAGAGGTACATAAGGAGCAACAGCCACAGTAGGCCCTCTCCAGCTCTCCGTACGTAAACTAGCCTTCTGTATCCCACTGAGACTCAACTACTTTGTCTGGCAATGAGGGCCCTGCCTATTCAGGCCCATCTCACCATCCAGACTTGGCTCCTGATGCTCCAAAAGCCCTTCTCCAAAGTGTCCCTTATAGGGACTCTGTCCTTGTTTCCATGCACCTGGCAGTGATCCCTTTGTACTGTCCACTCCTTTTTATTCTGCCTTCACCCCTCGGGACCAGCTTAGGCATCACCTCTTCATGAAGCCTTCCCAACTCCTCCAGCTCATATTCCCTGAACATCTCCAGCAGTGTTACCTGACATACAGCCACATACTGTCCAGCACCGTGACACGTCTGCACCTCAGGAGACCACCAGCCTTCCCACTAGCCTGTGAACCCTTCTGGAGCTGGAACTGATCATGACTTATTAACACCCCCCACCAGTGACTGGCTGGTGCTAAACATGTAGTAAGTGTTCTTTAATGATCAAGACCCCATCACCTACTCTGGGACCTCATCTCCTATGACCCCCTGGATCACTCTCCTGAAGCCACCGTGGTTCCCTCGCTGTTCCTCAGACAGGCAGACATGTTCCCACTGCCAGGGCCTATGTACCTGCTAGTCTATCTTTGTCTGTCTCTTTGGAACATTCCTCTCCCCGATACCCAAATAGCGCACACCTTCAACCCCTCCAGATCTTTAGTCAAATGTCACCTCCTCAGAAGGCCTCCCCTGGCCACCTTCTCTAATCCACCCCAGGATCCCCTATCCTCCTTCCTGCTGGACTTTTCTCCATAACTTCTAATATGAGATACAATTCACTCACTTGCTTTTAGTCTACGTCCCCTCCAAGGGAGGAGATTTTTGCCCAGTACCTAAAATAATGTCAGATACAAATATCTGATGAATACATGAGCTAAAATAAAGATAGGACCCATTATACGATATACAGCTTTGCATGCTCCTCAGGGCAAAAAAGAGCCCCAGACACAAATTAACAATCTCAAAATACGTGCTCACAGCCTATCTTCCCAGGCCACTACTCATCATGTGCCAGGCCCAACTGTGAGCTAGGGAGTACTCGGTGCTACTATTGGCATCCACAGAGACCGTTAGGGAGGTGGCCAATGGGAGAAGGTTCTGGCTGGCAAAGCAAAGCAGAGAAGCAGATGAGATGTAGTAAGAGAAGTCACAGGCGGGGTCACCTGTTTCTTCCTCCTGCTGGGGGGACCTCTCCCCTTCACTCTCACTACAGCTCCTGCTCCTTGGCCGCTTCCGGGAGTGCTGCTCATCCTCGATGCTGGCAGGAGAGGCAGGAGAGCCCACTGCACCATGGTCCTCACCATTCTCCAGAGCCCCATCTGGGCTCCTCTGCAGCTTAACCCCATTCTTGGCCTTCTTGAAGAGGACTGAGGTGCGGCGGCCCACACTACTGAGTGGGGCACCAGCCGGGGTATCGGAGGCCAGGAGGGACAATCTGTTGATGCCACTGTCACTGAACAGGTGTTGCAAGGGCTCGTTCCCTAGCTGCAGAGGTGACTTTTCCAAAAGCTCATCTTCTTCCACCTTTCTGGGTTTTAGGAATCGGCTTGGAGTTTTGCTATCATTGATTGGTTTTAGAGTGGGGGGATCTGGAGGGGATTCTTGCTCAGACAAGGAAGGTGCAGGCCCAGTGGGCTCCAGGGTTGGTGGGGGAGGCAGTTTGGAGTCATCTGTTAGAGAAAAAGAGAACCTGCTTGAACATTTTAGAAAAAGTCTGTCCCTACATGCCAGATACTGACACTTACAGCCAAGAACCAAAAGGACTGGCTATTACAAGGTTTGAGAAGCATCCCAGGTCTCAGTCTGAGGCAAAGAGAATGTGGGTCTCAGTGTTATTGACTCTAGTAGTCCTCAACCCTGAATATGAATTAAGATCACCTAGTAAGTTTCTTAAAAATTTCAATGCCAAGGTCCCATTCCAGACCAAGTGAAACCAAACTTCTAAAGGTGGGGTATTTTCTTTAAGCTGACTAGGTGAGTCTGATGAAGCGAAGGCTACAGACCATTACTCTATATCCGAGAGAGTCGAAAGCCCCCTGTTTAATCAATAATTAGGTAAGTCTCAGCTACACAGATTGGGGGTCTACAATTCTCATTAGGCTCCAGTGTTTTTCCATCTTTCAATGTATTTTGTTTTATGTCACCCAAGTGAAGCAAATGGGACAAGCAGAAAGAATAAGTTTACAGATAGGGAAAAAGGAGGCCAAGTTAAATTGGTGGTTCCCAAACATGTCCATTTACCTACCACCTTGAAACTTTTAAAACTGAGACTTCTAAACCACAGCCAAGACTTCCCTAATCTGAATCCTGAGACCTTTGTTTGAAACCCTCCAGGAGCAGCTGTTGCAGTTGGGCCACTGGGCGTGACTGTGCTGCCACAGCCCGGGAGTGGGGACACTAGGGGCATGAGGACTCCCCATGGGGAGTCAGGAAGAATCACAATGAACACAAAGCCCTCTGGAGCCAAATATGTCCTCTCAGCCATGTCCCCATTCTCTTCCAACCTAAAATAAAATGGGCCATTTGCTGCACATTTCCCTCTGGAAATAATTCCCAACTTTTTGAATGTATGGATGACAGGCCCACCCCAGACACAGGCTCAGATCCAAGGACAGGTAGATGGGACAATTCTGTCCCCAGTGAAGTGGAAAGAATGGGAAACAGCTCAGATTTCAAGCCTGAGTCTCTGAGAGTTACTTCCCCAGCTGTCTTTTTTTAATTTGGACTTTCTGCTTGGGATGAGCCTATAGACTTGGCCAGCTAGGCTCAAAGCCATGAAGTAGTCTGAGAGCCCGGACTGTCTTTAGAGTCTCTCTTTTCTATCCCCCACACCACAACCAGAGCTGCTCTAAAAGCCTCTCTATATAATGGTATAAGGTGAGTTGATATTTAACTGGTATGTGCAACATAACCATTATCAGGTACAAAATACAGAAATACTTCTTTACTGGTTAATAACAGCTGCTGGGCCCCAGCATCTGACACTCCCTGACCTGCCTGCCCACAACCCAGTGACTAAATATCTCCATCAGTGGCCACCAGAGGTACGCTCCAATACAACAGTCAACATCTATTCTGACTGATAAACTGTGGTCTCTACTGATTGTTAAGTATTTTGAATATCATCCTTGGGTATACATGGAAGAGTGTGTGACCCCTCTGATGGCTTCCGCTTGCCCACAAAGGTCAGACCTAGATTCAAGGAAAGATGCTTCTATTATGGGATTTCAGCTTAATTCTTGCTCCTTTACCCTGCCTGCCCATGCCTGTCTCTCACCTCTGTCCCCATCATCTTCTGGCTCCTCCTGCGGGGCCTGATCCAGCACAGCCTCATCCCCCTGAAGCCCTGCTGGCAGCTCTCCATTGGACACAGTCTTGTTCACTGAGGGTGGCTGTGGTGGCAGCGGCTGGGCCAGCTTCTGCCGAAGAGCATTGATCTCCCGGCGCAGCATGCGGACACGGCGAGTCCGGGCCCCACTGGACCTCATGGCACTCACCAGGTCCAATTTCTCCAGCAGCTCCTTCAGCTGCACCTCCGGGGACAAATGGGCCCGGTTCTCTGGGATGAGGATGTTGTCCACTGCCAGGGAGAAGGAAGCACAGAAGGGACTGAAGGACCTGCTCAGCCCAGGGCAAGGGGAAGGGGCTGAACCCTTCAGATGCAAAATATTCTGGAATGCCTGGGCCATTGGCTTCCACCAACATCACTCTGGGGCCTTGGCCCTGGCACCACTGCTGCTCACAAGGCAGCCACAGGGACAAAATCAGAATCTGGAAAACATCTGCAGGGAGCAGTCCACAGTCACATCTATGGGCTCCATGGAGAAGGCACGAGGCACTTTGGCAATCCCCTGGCCTCAGTGACTGTTTGGCTGCTGCTATCAAGAAGGAGAGCGTAGGGGCAGGCAGAGAGCGGGGCTCAGAGGCAATTCCATTTTTTAGTCCTGTACCTGCACTCTTCCATCTGAATATGACATACAGCAGCATTGCACTTCCCTCCCCCATGGCTCCAATGCCATACAGAAGGGTCCAGGAGAGGAAGACCCCAGTTGAGGCCTTAGCTTTTCAAGCAGACAGCTAGTACCTGATCTCCCTTGTCTACCATTCAGGAAGTGCTCAGTGAATTAGTTAAACTTCAATCCTTGGAACTGTCCCAGCCACAAGCAGGTGTATTCCAGCCTGTGCCTACCCCAAGCTTTGCTCCTAGAGTCTACCCTATGGCCCCAAGACCCACCCGGATTTCTGGCACTCTGGGATCTGTCCTTGTGCCTCTTTCTGGCCCCTCTCCTCTCCACCCACCCAGGCTTCTCACCATCTTCCCAGGAGAAGCGGTAAAAGTCCTCCAATTTGGGTGACTCGGGCAGGTGGGTGCCCCTCTCGGGGTCATAGCCGATGTTCTCTGCCTGCCGCCGGGCGTGCCGCAGGATGGCCCCTCCCAGGTCCCGCAGGCGGACAGCTGCTCGGTGGAAAATTGTGTCTTTAGCATTATACTTCATGCAGTTGGTAACTATAAGGTTAAAGTCCTCCTCAAATTCCTCCAAGGTGCAGTACAGATGGGATTCCAGCTTCCTCCTCATAGTAGAAAAATCCATTGGCTTGGATATGAATTCCAGGTAATCTGGAACCTAAACATATAAAACCTGTACATTTACAACAACCATTTACTAGCCAAACAGATGCACCCTTCACAGGCACTTTTGCCTCCCCGTTTTGTGGTTTGGCCATTCTGGGCTAGCTCAGAGCCTCAGAGCCCTGGCCCACCCTGGCCTGCTGACCCCTGCCATGGGCAAGTGTGCTAGCCTTACCAGACACCCCCAGGTTTTGTACACTCTGTCACCCAACACCCTCCTGGCCTACTCAGATCCTGTTGCCAGTTTAGGAGGGGCTCACCACTTAGGAAGTGGGGTAGAGGGACTTGCCTCACTCAGGTTGACAGGTTCAGCGAAGATGTGTGCAGGATCCTTCTCCTGCAGCAAGTCCAGTGTTGTCCTCAGCAGAACATTGAATGGCATCAGCTCTAGCTCCATGGCGGCCTGCTGGACCTTGATCTGTGGGGAGGTGGGCAGAAATCAGGACACACCCGCCTCCCCCCATCTTGCCACAAAGAGGCACTGAACTTTTTCTTGACAACTGGACTTTTTGTGTAACAAATTTTATAAAAATTTTTTATAATTAAATTTTCACATGCTATTATTAAGTTGACCAGTTTATAAGAAGCTAACACTTAACTTATAGCCTAGAAATAAAGAAACTAACAGCTACCACTATGTGGATGTTTCCTATGTACCAAACACCACACCAAAATTTGGCGTAACGATAATTATACAGTTGACAATTGAATAGCACAGGTTTGAACTGAGCAAGTCCATCCATACATTGTTTTTTTCCAATAAATGCTGTAAATGTATTTTATTTTCCTTATGATTTTAACATTTCCTTTTCTCTAGCTTACTTTATCGTAAGAATACAGCACATAATACGTATAATATACAAAATATGCCAATCAACTATTTATATTAGCAGTAAGCTTCTGGTCAACAGTAAGAAATTAGTAGTTAAATCTTTCAGGAGTCAAAAGTTATATGTGGATTTTAAATTAAGTAGGGGGCCAGAGCCACTAATGCTCATAATTTTCAAGAGTCAACTATAAGAATAATTAATACTTTTATGGTCCTTTCTAAGTGCCAAGTAACATTCTAAGCATTTTACGTAACATAAGTGAATATATGAGTTAGGTGCAGATGAGATATTTTACAAAGAGGAAACTGAGACTGACTGGCCCAAGGTCACAAGCTAATAAGGGACAGAGCTGGGACTCGTCCCAGGCAGCCTGATTCTACAGTGTGTGCTTTTGATGGCTTTGCTACACTGCCTCAATATTTATGTTAGTTATCACAATAACCCTGAAGGAGCAACTTATCCCCATTTTATAAATCTGAAACCTGAGGTTTGGGAGGAATATGATGAGTCCTTACTAACCAAAGGTCACTTGGCTAGAAAAGAACAGAGACAAGATTTGAATCCAGATCTGCAGGAGTTTGAACTCGCCCAAGGAGCACAGTGATGACATAAAATGTGCCTTGAGCCCAAATTCCCACCTACCGTGCTGAGATATTGATCCCACTGGCCTTTGGAAGTCTGGGTTGGCCTGGAGTGACTGGGGCCTCCAAGCTTACCCCCCAAGCAGCAAGCAGCCTCACGTATTTACAGTAGTATGCTGGGAAATGTTATTTTCTATGTGTGCCTATTGTGCAAAGGTTGGGAAGCCATAGATCAGACTATGAAAAGTCTTGCCTCTTGGCTCTATCAAAACAGGTCTGCTTGCTTCCTTTTCCCTTTCATTTCTATGAACCAGAGGCAGGAAAAAAGCTCAGCTACAGAACCAGGCCTGGTATAGCAGACAGTTTGAATCCATGGAGAAGGTCCTGAGATATCCTCCGTGGCCATCCACCTAGGTATGGCAAGAGCTGCCCAGTCTCAGAGGTGGAAACTCAGGCCTTGCGCTGGGGCTGAACAGTGAAGTGGGAGTTTGGAGAAAGAGAGAAAGAACATCTTTAACCCAGGCCTATGAAGCCTGAAAGTAATAGCTACTAGACCTGGACCAGAGAAAACAGCTTGGGCTTATCATTCATTCAATAGTATTTGCTCTTTGCCATGTGCAGAGCACTGCAGTAGACACTTCAGGGAGGCAAAGAATATCAATAATGATGATGACAGCAGCTGACTCTACGGCCCCTAATCTATGTGAGGCACTGTTCTATGCTCTTTAAATATGTAAGTCATCTAATCCTCACAACAACCTCATGAGGTAGGTTCTATCATTACTTTCATTTCACTGAGGTGTAAGGAGATTTAGTAACTTACTCAATGTCACCCAAGTAATAAGTGGCAGAGTCAGGATTTAAAACCCAGGCAGTCTGGTGCCATAGTTCATATTAACTACCAACCTCAACATTCCACACACTTAGAGGCTTAAAATACCCTTGAATAGAGGTTGGAAAATTTAAATGATCAAGACCATAAGTGTTTAAGGGCCTAGTGAGCACCCGCAGAAGCTCCCAGGCCAGAGATGACGTCTATCAGAATGGCCTCAGAAGCTTTTCAAAATACTTAAGGCCAGGCTCCCCTTGAGAGTCCAGGTAAGAAACTCCAGTGATTGGCCCAAGTATATATTAAGGTTGTGCTTGAGGTCACCAGAAGTTGAACTCCCAATGAGAAGCTATCAGCAGCACAACAGAGGAGGCAGCCTTGCAGCAAGAAGGGCAGAAAGTTTACACCAGGCAGGGGCTCCAGGTCTCCTGGTAACACACTCAAAGTGGGAGAAAAAGTTCTTGAACAAGAGCCATGGGGCTCAGAGCTCCTCCTCACCTGCTCCCGCTTGAGCTTCTCTCTCTTCCGAATCAGCTCAATCAGCAGCCGGGCTCGCTCCAGGTCATGCCGGAGCTTCTGCCAGTATTTCAGCTCTTCCTTCACTGCACTCGTTTTCTCATCCTGTTCTCGCTGCAGCAGGGAAGAGAAAGGAAGGAGGAGCTAGAGGCCTTCTTCCTACTCAAAGTCCTCTCCCAATTCAAACCTCATGAGGCCTTCGCAAGTAAGAGTCCCAACCCCTTCCTTGAACCGTGTTCCTCAAAGGCCTCCCACACCCTCTCCACCCCATTCCTTCCTCCTGTGTGCTTCCCTGACCTCGTAATAATGTCTCTTCACTGTAGCACAATAATTGTTGGGGTGAGAACTGGGACTGTTTCACCTACCTTTGGGGACACCAGAGAGCAGCTGTGCCCCTCAAGGCTGGAAAGAATTTCAGAAGGAAACTAATACACATCTCAGGGTGGAAAGAATTTCACCCTAGATTCTAGGGCCTAGAGCTTTGACTTTGGGCTAGAAAACAAAGTGTTCTCACTAAAAATTGTACTAACTGACTTTAGAACACTACCACCACATACATGATTCCAGACCTAGAAGAAGTTATAGTGTAATAAGGGGAAGGAAGAGGCTCAGGATTTGACACACAAAGGCACAGTAGCAAAAAGACAACAAAAACTGATCAGATAGACTAAATATAAAATGCTGAGAGAATATAAAATAGAGAGGGTCTGAGTGGGTTGAGGTTAGGTCAGGGAAGGCTTCCTGGGGGAGGCAATCTTTCTAGGTTTTCACATAGTGATGAACATACATGACTAAAGCAGTAAGGAGGGTCTCTTTTGGAACTGAAGGAAACACAGAGCAAAAGCATGGAGGCAGAATTAGTGATTCTTTGCTTGGTAAAAAAAACGGGCTGGCCAGAGCAGAGGAACTGGAAAAACCACAAAAGCCAAGGAAGATCCAGGATCCAGCTGACAAGAAGCCTCAAATGCCAGGAAAGATAGCCTGAAGCCTGGACATGGCCTGCCTGGAGAGAGGAAATATATTCTGGAAAAGGAAGTGACAGGATGGAAAATGGAACGTAAGTCATTACCAGTTGTAGAGCAAAGACAGAATTAGAGATTGGTGACCACCTAGAAAGCTACTGCTGAAACTGATAATACAAGGTACATAGATGAACAGTGTAGCAGGAGAATAGAGACAAAGGGCTATATACTGATAAATCTCCCAAAGAGTTTAGGGGGTGATTAAATGTGGCTCATTATAGAGGGAAAAGTCAGGAGTAACTATAAGGTAGGGAACATCTGAGGTCAGAAGGGTGGTTTCATGACAATAATGAGGAAATATATTTACTAAGAGGAAGATAATGAAATCAGCTTCTAATACCTGAGTTATAGGAAATAACATCTACATGGACATCTATAGTTCCTGTGCCCTAGAGGGACTAAGGGCAGAAAACAAGGGTGAGGACAAGACGAGAAACCTGGAGTGACTGCCACAGTTATTTACAACTATGTGAGCAGACAAGTTCTCCAAGCAGACAGGCAGGCAGCTAAGCCCCTGGAAATGTTACCATCAAGGAGTAAGAAGTGGATGGGCACAGGGATGGATGCAGTCTGTGGCGTAGAGGAGGTGGGAAATGGTGTCACAGAGAACGTCTAAGACAGGTGTCAAATGTGGCCTAACAGTCACTAAAGTGAGAATCTGAGAAAAGACTTGCTGGGCTGGGAGGAGGTCACTGATGTTCCAGGGGAGTATGTGGATCATTTTGAGGAGGGATCGGATATAAACGTGCACCTCAGGACTCTAGTTACAAAAGGCAAAAGTGGAATCAGACAGAATGCAGAGGGCACCACAGTCATGTGAAGGGCTGCTTCATCTCTGGAGTAGCAGTGTGGGAACATTTAAAGGCAGAAGTAATGGAGCAAGTGAAGAGGGAAAGAGAACAAAATGTTAAAAGTTTCTCAGGAGGCCTCTACGCTTGCAGAAAACACTAAATATATAGCAACTTCAGTTGCTAGTGGCTAAAAGGCCATGACAATTGAGCAGGCTATGCACTACAGCTTAGATGGTAAATCTTGCTTTTTCTATGAAAAGTTTTTTGGCAGATGGCATATAGTGTCTTGACGAAAGTGCAACTTTTCCTAATTTGTGCCATGTGACTGCCTGGCTCTCATTCATCCTAATTCTTCCTTTCTGCCACATCTAAAGGTTTCTCCATATATACAGAAAGTTGGGCTTGCTCTCCACTATCCCCTGAAATATGCTCCAAAGTCAAACTTCTCCCATCCAGAAGGAGCTGCTGTCTGGTCTGAAGAGCTCTATAGTGCTGGAGTTTGTTCCTGGGAGAGACCACCTAGAGAGGTGATCACATAAAGGCAAAGGATACACAGAGGGCTGAGGGAAGGGGGAGCCCCAGCCATCATTCCTTCTCCTCTACTCTCCACCTCCTTTACCCCTCCACCTCCAAATCACCATGTCACCTACCTGTTCAGCGTTTCTTTGGGACTGCAGGTGGGAGTGCAAGCGCCGGATGAGGGGGACACCATTCCGTGCCTGCCGCTTCAACAGCCAATAGTTGTGAAGCCGCTGCATAAACTGGGTTTTCCTCTGAAAGGAGAGACCACTACAGATCTTGTTCAACCTTGAGTAGAGGCACAGGGAAGTGAAATGCAGGATCAGTGGGTAACGCAGATTATAGCCTCCTCTCCAGACCCTACTTCATTTCTGAAGCTTATAAAGAAACACAGAATAAAGTGGCCAAATGCCTCACCTCAGAGAAAGGCTTGAAAAGGACAGCCAAGTTAAGCAGCTCAGATTCACCTGAATTTCCACCTCCTGCATCATAACCCTAAACCTCCAAAATGACCCTCTCCCAGAAACCCTGCTTCCTGCAGTCCTGAACTCCTAAGAAACAGGCCTGTAGCCCAAAAACCCTAGCCTTCTCTTGATAAAGGTAGCAAAAGAGAACAGGAACTTGAGTAAGCTATGGGCAATGTGGTCTCTATTTCCTGTGGCTGTGGGTCCCACCAGACGAGGGAGTTAGTCCATGGCCAAGCTAGAAGGAAAACTAGTAGAAGTACAGCAGGCTACTCCTTCCTGAGCCCAAGTGCAACCCCTTGAGTTGTCTTACCTCTGGTTTTTCATTAAAAACCTCAGCAGCCTAAAAATGTCTAATGTTTAACCAAACTGTATATTTATATGGATCTAAAGGTATAAGAGGATGGAGAATCTGAAAACTTGGCTGGCTAAACTACCCTAAAAGAGAAGTCTTAAGTTTAGAGTTTAAGCCAGTAACAAGTGGAGGGAAGGGAAAGGGGCAGAAAGAGAATTCACGAAAGCCTACAATCTCTATCCTAACACCCATACTGAAAGATGGGTAACATGATTCCCATGTTACAAAAGATGGAAAGGCAGCTTAGGAACAGAGGTTGAATAAATGTCAAAGTTCCTAATGCAGTTAATAAGATGATGGAGCTAGGGTGGGATCCGAATCCACAATCTCTTTGCTATACCATGCTGTGTTCCATAATTGGTTATCCACCAGGTAAGCAAGGCCTCAGAGCTCCTGTGGTGTTTCCACTGCTTTGTCTTCATCCCACTCCACTGAAAGGAAGATAAGCATGGCTGAACAAGAAGGTAAGACCTAAGAAGGATGGGCATATTGGACTTGATATCACTCACCTAGGCCTTGCACCTTTCCTGGGTCAGACATTCCTGCCCCAAAGCCAAGCTTACAAAATCAGGGCCTAAACTTTTCCCCGAAGAACAGATCCCCCACCAACGCCCATGCCAAGCACACCTGCCCTGATGCAGGCAGCCCCCTCCCTCTACAACCTCTTGGCTCTGGAGGGTCCCAATAGCATTTGTGCAGATAGAAAAAAGAATAACAATAATAAAATAGCAGCAGCAGCAGCCACCATTTATTGAGTGCTTACTATTTGCCAGGCACTGTGCTAAGTGCTTTACTTGTATTATTTATTTCTCACAACTCTAGGAAGTAGGTTCATTTACAAATAAATATCCTAGGTCTTAAAGAAGTTAAGTAACTTGCCAAAGGTCGGTAGTGATAAAAACAACATTCAAATGTAGGTCTGTCTGGTTCTTAGCCAGCCTGCAAGAAATATCTATGAGAGCAGACACAACAAAAAGTCTGATCCCAGGACACAACCACCCTGTGGAAGGGGACTAAGCATTCACCCATTCATCTCAAGGAAGAGGGTAGCCTGGAACAGTGCTGTGACTAGAAGATATATTTCTAGTCGATAGAATTATAACTCAAGCCATGGCTTGCAACAAGAGCCTCTTTCCCCTAACCTTCCACACTCTTGTGTCTTCTTCCCAACTGACAAGTTTGGTTGCCTATTTTCCTCATAGAAGTCATTCTCACTACCCTCTAGTACTCCTCCCAATTCTTCTCATCAAGTGAGACAGACAGCAGGTACAGAACCTACAGGCATCATGAGCTCCAGCTTGTGGTCTAGAGTCTGCCACTTTCCACCTGGTCCCAGCCCTTAGAACAGGACTTGGCATATAGTAAGTGCTCAATAAATATCTCATTGAATAAATAAAGGAGTGAACAACTTTACCTCCTGTGGCCCACGGTTTCTTCATCTGGGGGTGTGGGAGAAGGTGCAAGGACTACATTAGATAAATTATCTCCAAGGCTCCTTCCTGCTCTAACACTGTATACTTTTTCATGAATATCACCCTTGAGATGAGCCTCTGCTAGAAAATCTCCCATCCCTCCAACAGCTCCAGCTACCTCCCTGGTAGTTTAACAAGTACATTGGTCTCTCCACACTCAGTGAGCTTAGTTACACAGCTGAACTGAGTGATCCTAAATCCAAAAGCTTTTTAAGAGGAGCTCCCCACACTACCTCCACCCCTCCTGAAAATCCCCATCATTCCCAGGACCAAGCTTTCTGGAGAGCAGAAATCCATACTGACCCAGTAAACTGGAAGTAGCTGTATCACTTCCAGTTGTGGAAATATGTGGGGAGGATTTTAAGTGTCACAAAAACCAGGCAATGAAGGATGGGATTCAACTGGCATTTACAGAGACCACAGATGCTAAGCATCTAGAAACACCTGGGACAGTCCTAATAATGAAGAATTATCCTGTCCAAAGTGCCACCTGTACCCCTCCCTGTTGAAAGATACTGCCTTAGACATCCTGTCGCCTGAGATTCTAAGCAACTTGAGTGTTTGTCTCACCTTGAACCAAAGGATATACATTGTTCTGAGGACATAATCAAAACTACAAACTGGACTAGGCAAGCCCAGGGTCCAAAGGAGAAATTTGAGGGCCCACAAGAGAACAGACATTCACCAACAGTGCTTGGGGAAGGAGGCCTGGCTCAGGGCCAACACCAGCCCAAGAAGAAACCATGAGTCTCTAGGGTACCTTCCTGGGCAGGCTCACCTATAAGAGGGTATCTGTGGGACGGTGACCAATGGGACAGTGGAGGGTGTGTCTCGACCCACTTCTTCTGGCTCTTTCTTGATCTTTTGCTTCAAAGTCATCTTGTTCTTCTTAGGCACTCCCTTAACAGGGCCACCTATTCCCCCCTGGCCTTCATCTTCCTCCTCTTCTTCCACCTCTTCCTTCTCTTCCTCCACCCCACAGCCTTCCTTCAGCCCTTCCTCATCCCCAGCCTCACTGAGGCTTTCAGGGGAGTCACCCTTCCTTCTAGCAGTGACAGCACCTGGCGGTGAGTGGGCCTCACAGTAGGCAGTCTTGCGCACTGTGAAGATGGTGCCATTGAGGCTGGTCTCACGCATGGGCTCAATCTTCAAGAAAAGCCCAGCCCGCTGTGCACATGTCACATGGAAGGCTGTGTAGCAGTTCATCTTATGGCACTGGATGGCTGCACCCAGCCCCTTCTGCTTGCAGATATAGCAGGTCAGTTTCCAACGGGCAGGTGGGATGTTGTCAATGCCCTCAATGGGCTCCAGGAACACGGTGTTAGCGAAACAGACTTCAGGGATCCAGATGGCACACACCACGTGGGCCCAGTGCCCATCGCTGGTCTGTTTGAAGGCACCACCTTTATTGGGGCAGAGGACACAATCCACAGGCCGGGAGGGAGACTGCAAGCAGCAGCGGCATAGCCACTGACCCTCAGGGATGTAGGGGACGCCATAGCACTCCTGGTGTACAGCTAGGTTACAGATGTCACAGAAAAGAATGACATTGCTATTGTGGCATTCGTCATCCAGGCACACACAACAGAAGGCATCTTCATCAATGAGTGACTGTTGGGCCCCACTGCTACGACTCTCCAAGTATGACTCCTTCTCAAGCCGGTCTACCAGCAGCTCAAAAGTATCTGCTGACACCAAACTGTGCCCATCTACTCGCCGCTTCTCATTCACCATGTCCAACCAGGCAAAGTCCTCCTCATCCATGTCATACTCTACCTCTGCATCCAGGTCTTCAGGTGGTTTCTCAATGTAACGGTAGTAAGCAGCAGGCAATGGGGGTGCTTCTGGCTGACTGCCTGAGTCCACCAAGCGGAAGCTGGGCTGTGGGAGGTGGAAGGAAGTGCCGGGTGCATGCTTGGAACAGGAATCCTTCTTCTTGCCCTTGGATGAGGGTTTTTTGGACTTGCCGGGGAACTGAGGCTGCTCACTATTTTCCTTGTTACTATTACATTCAGTGATATCCTGGGCAGTCAGCTCATCCTCTGTGATGATCTTCAGTGGGTCATAGATGCTGATACGATGCAGGCGTCCATCAATGTCCACCTCAACAATCCGTTGGGCCTGGGCATATGTCAGGGTCTCCCGGGTAGGTGAGCACTTGAGACTGTAGGGGGATGGGGAACGCCGGCCCTCGGCATTCTGCCGTGATTTCTGTTGAGGCTTCCTCATGGCACCTGGGAAACAAGGGAACAGGCAGGCCTAAGGAGAAAAGGCCAGGAGACATTGAAGTGGATATACTTATTCACCCTTCCGTCTGATCAAGCAGCCAACCAAGAAATAGGACTGAATGTCCCCTCTGAACATTCTGCCCCCCAGATGTCCCCATGGCTTGCTCCTTTGCCTCCTACAAGTTTTTCCACAAACACTACTTCTCAGTGAGACCTTCCCTGACCTCTTTATCTAAAATTGAAAATCCCTTTTACCCTACCAGCAATCTATTATCTTGCTTTATTTTTCACTGTAACACTCACCATCTTTTACTGTGCTGTGGAATTTATTCTTTATCACGTATGTTTGCTTCCTTCTACTAGAATATAAGCTCTATGAGGGGAGAGATTTGTACCTGTCTTGTTCAGTATATCCCCAGCACCTGGAATGGTGCCTGGCTCCCATAAGTACTAAAATATTTATTGTATAAGTATTTCTCCTCTCAACTAATAATTCAACTTGAGTGTATAAGTACTAATTGAATGAAAGGAGAAATAAAACATGCATGATACCTGCCCTCTAGTTATATCTGATTAAAGGGACAGACAAATAAATAGATCCAAACGATACAAACATAAGGCTGTGGGACTGCTAACTATGGAAAGGGGGGCGGTGGTTAAGGCTTCAGATAAGAAAACAAGAACAGCATCAATTTTTAAGCTCTGGACATGAAGAGTGGTCCCATCAAAGGATCGCAAATTCACAGGTCTGGAGTCTTCTTCCAAACCATCTTACCATGATCAGAAACCCTATCCCCCTGAACATGCCCAGGGCTAAAGGGGTGAAAGCACACAAATTATCTATCTCATGCAGTCTAAGGATTTCAGACTATAGTATTCAGGGTTTTATCTGCAAAAAGCAGCATTCAGGAGACACTGGCTAGTACATCTCAAAGCAAAAGCTCTGGAAGTGGCCCCAAGTGTCACTGGAGTTGTAAGCTGACCTGAGGCCCTCATTATTAAGGCCAAGGTGAATGGGGCAATACCTGTGGTAAACTCTCAATGTATTCTGTTTCAAAAAGGCCCTTTTTTTCAAAATACTTGTATCTAGTCTAGTCTTATGCAGCAAAGAGTAAGCCCAGAAGTTTTCTACCTCATTCTCTGGATGGTCAGAACTATGACAAGCTCAAAGGATCTGTGGTAAGCAGTCACTTAGGCCATCACTACCAGGAAAGATCTTTGGGGATATGTTGCCCTGAGGTGTGGGTAGAGACTTGAAAGGGTATGAACAGGAAGAGGATTTCAAGGAGAAAAAGTTCGACACCTGGGTTGAAAAGCCTACCATCTCTATCTATAAAGCGGAGATGATGACAATGATGATCATCACCTCCATTTTACAGATGAATAAATAAAAAGTTCAGAAAGGTGTCACTACACCCAAGTGATAAAGCTCCAATTCAAACCCAGATCTTTAACCTACTCAACTCATCTTACTAGGAGGAAAGAACACCACAGAGATGCCCTGGTCTGGCAAAAGAGAGCCTCTGGGGCAATCTAGGTTTTATTCTTGGCCCTAAATGACCTAAAGAGTCACTTAAACTCTCTGTGCGTCTATACTCCCATCAGTAAAATGAAATCAATAAAATCTACCTCTTAAAGATTGCTATTTGTCAGTAAGGTATGATTAAGATCATTTAAAAGGTCTTCCAATCCTGAAGTGTGACTGAAACAATAAAAAAACAAAGTGGCTGAGCAATAGTGCCAGAAGGGCACCCATCCTATTTGGAGCCAAAGGAAACGATCATCACAGCAACTCTGTCCAGGTTCCCAAGGCCCTTGGCCACTATACATCTTATAAAGGCCAACTCCTTGAGGGTAGCCTGTGACAGTAGACTGCCTTATTGCCTCCTCCCCCTCAAGGGTATGGAGACCCTTACACAGGTGTGAAAACCTACCTCACTTCTAGCGTGAAATAGTTCAGAGAGGCTGTGGCCCCTTTGTTAATGCAACTCTATCCTTCCTCCCTCCCCGGCAGCTCAGGTATCTCTCCACCAAGCAGCAAGTGGCTAGGGAGACCTCTTTGGTCCCGCCCAAGCCTCTAGACACTGGTGGTCATACTCTAGAGGGAAAAGGGCTGCTGCTGAGGAAAATGAAATGAGTTCACCCACAAGGAGCTTACAGTCTATTTTTTGGCGGGAGTTTCTCATCCCATACAACCCTCCCCACATACACACCTCCCAATAACTCGAACACCCCCCCAGAGGTGTACTGCGCATTCCCTGAGACCTCGCTGACCCATACCACCCAGGACCCCCAAAAAGAAGAGTTTCTGCAATTAGTCTGTACCCCTGCGCCCCACAAGAGATACTCATGAGACGAGGACCGCGGCCAAGCCTCTTGCCCCTTTAAAGGGGCACCATTTCCAGAAGAATCTTGACCCTTCAGAGGAGCAAGGAAATAATACCTCCACCTCAGGGGCAGGGGCGAGCGCGCCACACCGACTGACTCAAAGCCCGACCCTCGGACAGAAAGCTAGCACAAGCGAAACAGCGGGGCATACAAGCGAGCGCCCATTGGTCGTCTCACCTGCCCGTTAAAAAACCCCGGAGGGCTAAGGGACACTCAGGGGGTGGAACTCTCCTCAGGCATGACCAATTGGAGAGCGTGGCGGGGGCGGGGCTCGGCGGCTGAGCTTCCAGAGCCCGGGGGGAAAAACAAGATGGCGGCTGCAGGAGGGGGTCCTCGCTTTTCTGCTCCCCCCTCACCCGCCTTCCTCTTCCCCGCCGCCACTCGCGCTATGGGAGAAGGCTTTCGCACTGCTCTCGCCCCGCTCGGAAAGCCCCCCGCTTCCCTCCCCAGCCCGCGCAGTCCCTGGTCCCGTAGGCCCCGCTGCCCCCGCCCCCGCTCTGTCCGGCCCCGCAGACGCCCCCATTACCTCAGCCGCCCGCCCGGCCCCAACGTTCGGGGGACCCTGGGCGCGGACAGGCCGGCGGTCAAGCAGGTCGGCGCGGCCCGGGGAGCGGAGCACGGCCTCCCGCGCTGGCCTCCGTGGGCACAGTCGTGCCCCCTCCCGGCCCGCGCTGGGCCCCAGCCCGGCCGCCACCACCGCTCCCGGGGGAGGAGGGGGAATGGAGCAGCCGCCGCCGCCGCCGCTACCGCCACGGAGCCCGGCCGAAGGGAGGGAGGGATCAGCCCCCAGGCAGGATCCGCCCCTCCGGCCTCCCCCCGCCACCTCCACCCCTTCTCTCGCTCCCTCCCTGGCTCCGCGGGCTCTCCCGCTGAACGGGAGCGAGAGCGCGAAAGAGGGGGAAACGGGAAAATATCCCCCCGCCCGTGTCGGGCGCAGCGGCGGCCGGGGCGGCGCTGAGGAGCGCGGAGCCGCCGCCGCCGCCGCCACGGGGCACGGTCCCCGGCTCGGCCTCACGGTGGCGATGCGGACGCGGCAGGGGCGCGGAGCAGAAACGGGGTCTACGCCCGCTGCAGCCCCGAGTCACTCAGGCCCAGCCCTGCGTCGGCGAGCCAGACGAGAGACTGGGACATTAGGGTCTCGTCGGGAAAGACGGGGATCCCTAACTAGAATGGGCAGTCTCCTCCCCATATGCCCGCGGGGTGTTGACTGAGGTTTGGGGCACAACCCCCCCCCCCTCCGCCGCCTTGCATTTCGAGGGCCCCTTCAAAGGTTAAGCCAGAGCAGTCAGTAAAGTCAAAACCGGTCTGTAGTTTCTTGAGGTGCAGGTGCCTGCACTTTTCCCAGAAAGTCATCCCCCACCCCCTACCCTCCCGCTCGGTCGGAGGACAAAGGTCTCAGTGACGTCCATCCCCTCCCCCAGTGCGGACAACTAGGAAAGATCTGCCTCTGTTGTCTACAGGTTAGCATCTTGTTGCTCACGAGACACCCCTAGGAAACAGACCTGACTTTTCATTGTGCCACCTCTACCCTCTGGGTTTAAAAAGAGTAAATAAACATCAAAGTTTGTCAGTCTACTTAGGGACGTCTGGTAACTGGTTTTTATCACTGTAGACACGAGAAACATTCTCTCCTTAAACCAGATTGGGCTAGGAGTCCGTTAATTTAAGGCAATAATTGGCTTTCTAAAAGATGCTTGACAAATGACAACTTCAGGCTTTCAGATGTAATCAAAAGAAGACGGCTCCTTTGCCGCCCACTTTTTAATTGGAAAGTTTACCTCGCACGACTGAAGTCCCAAGCACCAATATTTAATGATGTTTATAGAGAACGTATGGATAAACTGCCTTTAAGTATGAAGATGAGTGACGTATTTTGAGAGAGTTTCCTCTGCCCACGCTGGTGGTGTAGCTTAGTGAAACTTTCACAACTTCTTGGTTGGTTCTGAAAATCAAGGATACAGATTCTGGAATCAGAGGATGAAGGAGGATCAAGTGTTAGGACCCAAGTCTCCCACATGTTTAAACTGAAACGTACTGCTACTTTTGAAGTATAGATGCTCATTATCCCAAGGAATTTAAATACATTGTGTTTGAATTTGCAAGTTTGATAAAAGGAAACTAATTTGTATTCAACGATGTTTTCCTGTTTTACAGGGTAGCACCTTCTGACAAAGTGATAGCAAAAATACTTCTGTTAACCACTTTTTTTTTAGGAGTGGCTTGTGGAGCTAAGCAAGGGCAGGGTAATATTTTAAAACTGAAGATGAAATAGTATGAATTAATGTCGTCTTCTAAGACTAAGGGGAATAATCATTTGGAGGGATGGTGTGAAATAAAAGATGATTTATTGAGGAAGGAAAAGTCCCAGGGGCAAAAGATTTTTACAATTTCTTTTAGTTAAGAAAAACAAAAAACTGAAGATGAATGGAAACAAAGATACTGAATTTCATTTCTTGTTCTTTTAAAATGTAAGATAAAACCATTTATACTTATGATTTGTAACATTTTTTGATGGATGTTCTTAAATTTTATTTAGCACAATTCCATTTGTATCATTAATTACCTTGAGAAAATGCATTGGTTTCCACTTGTAACAGTAAATAAAATAATGATTTTAATGCTATTGAAAATGTGTTGTTACCTAATATATTTAATTTCTGGGTTTTTCTGTTTAAAGGTTTCATAGAAGACATTCAATCTAAGTGTTTCTCTTCCATTTGCAACTTCCAGTTTCTTAATGGTAACATTATAGTTGATCTCACTTATTTTTGACATTTGGGATTGTGTTCTGTTTGTGTAATAGCACAAATAACCAGTTCACTATGATGTAATCTTAAATGTAACATGGGACAATTATGTTCATAAAAACAAATTTGGGACATGTATCAAAAATCCCAGAGGCACGAAATTTAATTCACTTTAATCTTTGGCTACTTTTAAAGAGTTTAAATTCACCAGTCCCTGGCCTTTCCATTGAACCATACAGTAATTAAGTTCAACAAACAGAGGCAGTGACCTTTGATTCCAAATAGTAGTTTTAAAATCCTGCATTTCTAAGTAGAAACTAACTTAATTGGAGTAGGAGAATGTTCTCACCACTTAGATTTAAAAATGGAAATGTGAATACAAAGAGCCTCCCCTTCCATTTTTCCCCCAGCATCCCAGGATATCTTTGTCAACTCTTTACAACATGTTATTAGTTTACCAAGGCAAGAAACCTCTGAGGGGTCAGATGCAGATGTGGGGGAGTTGGCTACGGTTTGGGGCAAAAATACAAACAAACAAACAACCCCCTCCCCCAGCTAGATGGCCAAACACCAGCAGAGAAAGCTGTAACACCATTTTAGATACATTCAGGAAATGGTGGGTAAAAAATGGGAGAGAGGCAGTAGTCCCTGATGATTTTTGGAAGAGGTAAATGGCCTGCATAGTTCCTCACTCTAGGCTTTAGTGAGGCAAGAGAGCACAAATTAATATGGTTTAAATTATCTGTCTAGTATGACTTGCATTAACCTCTTTGGACTTGAATTGTAGTTAGACATACCACATGCTTCAAAGTAAATACAATATTTTTGCTGTGTATAATGGGCACTAATGTTTTTGGCCCAAACTTTCAAGGGAAAAGCTCTTTTAATTCAATTATTTATTTATTAATATTTAGATATTTGGGGGGTTTTTGTATTATAGAAGGTATTATTTTGTATACGGATATCATTATTGCTTTCTACAGTTACACTTTTAACACATAAGTATAAATAAAAGAATTAAAAACATTTATATAGAGACAGAATTAGTACTACCCAAGCATAATGCACATCCTTATTTTACCCTCAAAAATTTGGGCAAAAACTGTACATTATACATGGCAAAATATGGCAGTGTGGCAAGTATAAATTGCTCAAACTGAGTTGATGTCTTTTTATTTCTACTATCAATTAGCATTTCAATGAAATTCTAAACTCTAAATCATGAATGAAGTTAGGGCACCATAAACAAATGTTATTTCCATGTTTTAGCAAAAGAACAACCCTGTAAGTAGCCATCTATTTGATATAATTTTACTAAAGAAAGAAAAAATACACAAAATAATAGCACCTCCCAAAACAAAAAAACTGCATTTTTAACAAGATCCCCCTAGGTGATTCATATGTATGATGGTCAATTTTATATCTCACCTTGAACAGACTAGGAGATACCCAGAAAGCTGGTAAAACATTTTGGATGTGTCTGTAAGCATGTTTCAGGAAGAAATTAGCATTGGCATGGGTAGACTGAGTAAAGAAGATGTCCCTCACCAATGTGGATGGGCGTCACTCAGTCCATTGAGGGCATGAATAGGACAAAAAGGTAGAGGAGGATCGAATTTGCTCTCTGTTTGAGCAAGGACATCCATTTTCCTCTCTTGGGCATTGGTGCTTCTGGTTCCCAGGTCTTTAGACTTGGACTGAATTTTACCACCTGCCTTCCCCGTCCTCCAGCTTCCAGACAATAGGTCATGGGACTTCTTGGCCTCCATGATTGCTTGAATCAATTCCTAAAATAAACACTATATAGATAATGAAGTTTGGGAAATAAATGCACATGCTTAATCCACACATTTTAACTATAACAGATGTTTCTTTGGAGAACCCTGACAAATACAATATCCATATTAAAGTTAAAAAGTGGTGGATTAGAGGATAATTAGAGAATTCTTGGATTAATAAGATCCTTGTATTTTCTGGGAAAAGGGTAAAGTTGTAGGGATAATTTTGGGTTTTGATTAGTCAAGAAAACCTGCTGTAACATAATCTATAATTCCATTTTTATTCTTGAAAATGCAAAGTAATATGTAGTGACAGAGAATAGATTGGTTGTTGCCTGGAGTTGGAGAGGACTGACTTAAGGGGCATGAGGGAACTTTTTGGAATGGTGGAAATGTTCTGTCAGTTAGTTTTGAATGGAGAAACACAGGTGTCAATATGTTTGTTAAAAGTCACTGACCTACTGGATAGCTGTAATTTGTTTTATGTAAATTATACTACAATTAAGCTGATGAAAAGAGAATATCTATTGTAATTTTTAGACTGATCATTAAGAGAATGAAAAAAAGCTGTAACACAAAAAAAGGAATAATAAATCAGAAGACAAGGAAAGAAAAAGGAACTTGTAAAGCTGGAACAAATAGGCAATGAAATGATGGCAGATTTAAACTTAATCCACACTCTACACTGTAGTAGTCTATAATGAGAGGGACATTTGGGGAAAGTTTGATGACAGATGGTTAAAACATGTGGATTAAGCATGCATTTATCACCCAAACTTCACTAATATTTAGTAAAGAATTTTTTTTTTACAAAAAGATCCACGAGAACAAAGAATTGTCAGTAAAGTTTTGGAGAATGAAAGTAGATGGATGAACAAATCAGAGAAAGCTAAAACAAGTCTGCAGAAAGAGCCATAAAAACCAACTGATTCACATTAGAAAGCTAAAAAGGCTTAGAAGTAGGAGGCTGCAGGTACTCCTGAAAGTTGGATTGGCTGAAAAATCTGTAAAAGAGCTGTTGGATCTTGTCAGAGCTCCTCAATACTCCTTGGAAGTTTACCATCTCAAGAAATTGAAATAAGGAGATCTTGGACTTGGGCATGTCAGGCACCAGTAAGGGCAGAGACCAAGCTGAAAATAGGAATTAAAATGTAACTCTACATACTGTACGGACACACCATTTCCCTTCTCAGGATGGAAGAAGAGGAAGGGGGAAGCTGGTACAAATTGCTGGAAACTGGTGGTCCAGAGGAGG